AGCATCCTGACCACTGGAAGCCTGGGCATGGGGCAGAAGGCCACAGATGAGTGATGGCCAGGCCTCTGCTCTCCCACTCACGCCTCCCCACCTCCCGCACTTACCCTGGGGGCTGACCCCGTGTACTGTCCGGTCACAGCCGCACTTTTCCAGCTCCCCACTGCTGCACGCCCGCGTCACCGCGAAGGCCACACCTGCTGAAGAGATGGCGTACACGAAGGCCGCCTCCCGAGTCCCTGTGGGCGGCAGAGGGAGGGCAGCTGGGTCCCGGGGCTCCTCCCCACCCCCTCCTTTTCAGAGGTGGAGGGTATTCGGGACCTGAACGCCGGAGGCCCCTGGAGAGATCTACCTCCCACGGGCCGGGAGCGACACTGCTGGCCATCATTCTCCCCACGCGATGCTGAGTACACAGGCTGCATGCCAGATCCTGACGTGTGCTGAGCGTGTCATCCTCACAGCGCCCGTGAGGTCAGCACTGCCGTGATCCCCAGCCCACAGAGATCAGTCAACTCGTCCCTGGTCACACGGCGTCATCGCTGTTAGCTTCTGTGGGGTTACTGTCCTCAACCCCCCCAGAAGGCTAGTGGTGTTCACGTCGTCTCCGACAGAGAGGCTCAGAGCCGAGAACTGACTTACCCAGACGACAGGGCTGTGACGTGGCAGGCTGGACTGCCAGCCCGTCGGGCTTCCTCTAAAACCCGAGTTCTTCTAGCGCCTATTTCCCAGCTCTGAGGGGTCCCCTGCCCCAGGGTCCTGCCCCGGCCCTTCCTGCTCAGGCTGCGCTCATCCCTGAGTTCCTCTTGCCTCCTATCTCTAAGAGTAAATTGTAATCACAGTGGCCCCTCCTCTTCGCCTGGACCACTGCTACTGAGGTCGGGCCCTCTACCACTGGGCCCTTTATCTGTGCCCATTTCACAGATGGCACAGTGCAGGTTTGGGAAGGGGAAGTGATTTGGCCCTAGCACCCAGCGAGGAAGTGATAGGAGCAGGACTCAGACGCAGTCCGTCCGCCTCTGGGCCTGTCTTTCCCTTCCGCCCAGGACTTCTCAGCGGTTCTATTTTGGTGCCTGCCCTCGCCCCCTGCCTGAATGGGTGTTTTTATCCTCCTAGGAACTGTGCCTCGGGGGTGTAGCTTCTGTGGAGCCTCTTTCTGGGGTGTGGGTGGTGGGAGGGAGTGTGCCTGTGTGTGTGTAGTGCAAGTGTGGTGCGTGTGTGCATGGCTGGCCGGGAGGGTGACCAGACAGGCCCAGCTCCTCTCCTGGGCCCTGTGAGGGCCTCTGTGTGCCCGTGACTGTCCTTCTGTCTCTTGCTGGAGCGTCTGTGTCCGCAGGAGTGGAGGGGGCAGGTTTTGGCCCCGTGGTTGGCAATTACCTCTGCGACACCCAGGCCTGCGCTCTCGGCTGCCCTGGGGAGCAGTCGCCGTGGTCAGACAGAAACAATCACCTCCTCTGTGCCCGTGTCTGTGGACGGGCAGCAGAAAAAGCGGAGCTGGGGTGGGGGCAGCTCAGGCCCTGGTGGCTCAGGATGCCCTGTTCCCGGTTCAGCCCCTGCACTGGGGATACTGCCCACCACCGTTCTCCACTGCCCACCCTCTGCCCTGCCCTGGCCGTTTGGGGCTGGCATCAGGGGCCTTGGCTGGGGCCACGGGGGCCTCGACAGCCCGAGATGGAATCCTCTCCAAGTTAATCGAGGTTAATAGCAGGATCATGTTGGTTGGT